CCCATGCTCACCTGACCTAAATCCAAAAGAACACCTCTGGGAAATCATGGTTCAGTCCATGTTTTGCTTTCTGCCACATGTCCATTTCTCTATAGAAGGAAGCAGGTTTCCTGGATCACAAAGGAAGCGATTACGTTGTTCTTTGAGAGACGCCTGTCCAACCTTGTCATGGATTTATGGCTCAGGTAAAATAAATAACTCAATACAATAATAATAACTTGATGTGGAGAAAAGAGAAGCCTAACAGAATAAAAATATCTGAACACAAACCACAAGAAACACTTGCTGCTTGTTTGCGGCTCTTGTGTTCTGTGCACCACTCTTTGTCGTCTTATTAGCATTAACACACAACCCCACAAACATGAACAGTGACCAGAGGTCGTTAATTGCCTCAACAGTCTAAGTCATGGTGGCAAATTGGCAGCCACACTCAACGTCACCTTCAGACAAGCAGACAAGAAAACACTGGAGTTCAGATGATAAAGTAACAGTAACAACGAAGGACCAACAAACCATAACTACAATAACTGTCATAACATCTTAAATTAACAGATTAACATCAACATGAACAGTCCCATGAGTCTTTGCACTAGTGACCCCTCAAGGGCCCCTCAAGGCTGCTACAAGATAATAAATACATTTATATTGATATTAAATGGTATTAATGTCATTCCAGATATGCTGTTGGAATGATCATAAGCATTGTTTATGCACAAATGCGCACATGTATACAAACTATGAATGAAGCTCATGCGTTCATGCACAGTGAGAGGGGAATTCTCAACCTTGGTGGAGGCATGCAGTCTCACGCCTGTTATACGGTTCTGCATTCATGTCCATTTGCATGTCTATTTGCCTACGCAGAGCCCACACAGAGGGGTATGAAACCTAAGTAGGTGCGCTTGCGTGCAGGCCTCCAAAGACCCAACAGATCGGTAGTCAACATGGATGACATTGTGTGTAAATCAAACACTGATTGAAACGTGAGCCAGAACAGGAAGGGCAGCGACGACATCAGGGATCATCAAAAACAGCAGAGATAGTGGCTCCAATAGATAGTTTTCACTTTTTTTTGTACAATCCTATCTGAACCACAGTTATATTTGCCTTGTTTCATTGTTTCTTGCACTTTCATAATTAAAAACTTAGCACTGAGGTTTCCCTCAGAAGGGTTGAGCTTTTTATTAAATGATTCAATAGCTGTTACTTCGCCACAGCGCTACAGTTTATATCAGCAATAAATTAACTTCTAGAGTTTCTTATTTAATATCCTGTTAAAACTAATGGATATGGACAGTACAGTGTATATATTTGGTAGTGTATGTGTTTGGTTTTTTTTATTCAGTATATAAAATCCTAAAATTTTCAGGCAGCCTGGATTAAAATGTAATTGTGCTTTCATTATGGGTTAGTAGAGCATATGCATGTGCTTTTAAGGGCCAACATGCAGAGACATATTTTTTACGTTATTTAGTCATTTGGGAGAAGATCGGTAAAACAATAGCTGCCTCGCAAGCTATGATATGCACCCTTGCATTATCTGCGCTAACGCAGACGAGGGAACAAAAGATGCCGCGGAGCACCAGAAGCCGACTGACAGGTGATCCTGCTGCGCCTCCGTCATCAGAAACTGACGTTTCTTCAGATGACGCCCGAGAGGGAGAGACGTCTATGCCGGGGGCCGTTTCTTTGCATTATGCCCCCGTTTCAAGTAGGAGGGACTGAAACAAAAAGGAAAAATGCATGAGAGGGTTGGCATGTAGCCATCAAGGATTTACAGAATTTACCACCTCAAAAATAAGAAGAGCCTGTTAAAATAAGTTTAACAGCTTGTCTCTCCGCTGCACAGGTCACTCAGGCTATTCATTATGAATGCCTCGCCAACTATTTGCTGGCCTCTGCAGCTCTCTGTAGACTCGCTCTTTCTGTTTACCCTTTGAGCGTCTCCGTCTTTCTGCTGGTTTTGTTAAATGATGAGTGTAAAATGTAGTGGCTTTTTGGACCTTTTTGCGCGTCCGGCTACAAACGATGCCAACAATGCACAAAAGCGAGAGCCGCTGCCAATCTGACGCCAACGCTTACCAACTGGACTCCGGCATTTCCTGAACGTTCAGAAAAAAAGAAAACTGAAAACTGCTCCCGAAAATGATTGGAGAGGAGCAGAAGAGGCATCAAACGGTTCAGCAACAAGGTTGTCGGTTGGGCAGTTGGATAATTGGCTAAAGCACCTTATGAAAGAACAGCTTGAAAATAAATCTAACAAAAGAAAAACCTTTGTGCAGGGTGAATGACAAATGGCAGGAAATGTCAAGCTGTGAGTTCTAGCCGGACTATAAGTATGTTCACTTGATGCTTTATGCTAGTTGAAATGTACAGTTTCTTGAAGTGAAACTCTCTGGATGTGATCAAATAAAAGTCCCTTGCATCTAAACGTATGCATAAAGGCAGCTTGTCCGTTTCCAGTCTTATGAGCGAATCCTGTAATTATGCAGTTTGGTGCACTTGTTTAAAAGAGAGCTGTCTCTTTTATACTTGATAAACGAGCTACGTAGTTTATTCAGTGCACTCAGCTATTTGTAGCGCTCCACTGACAGCAATTACGGCTACGAGCATGTTTGAGGCTCCTTCTAGCAGCAGCAGCGCACACCTGGCTTTTGAAGCACTTGTGCTCGTTGCGTATTGTCTCCTGCTGTGACAGATTGGATTGGAAAGTGTTGGTAAATTGCAGTCTGTGTCTAAACTGATTTACAGCTGGGTTCAGGTGCTTTGTGGCGGTTGAAGACATTCAGAGGTGTATCACAAAGCTCAGAAAGTGTATTTTGGGAGAAATTAACGTAATGCGCTCCCGAAAAAAGAGTCTGACTAACTTTAATGCTGATGATTGAATTTTGAACAAATTACAGCAAGTATATCTAAACGTTTTAACTGCCCTCTTCAACTGTTTCCTGTACTCTCCCCGTGAGAGGTGCTGAAACGAGTATAAAGAGATGCAAAATGACCACAACAAGTATCTTTTTTAAAAAAAATTGTGTTTTGTGTCTCCTTGTTAAAGCCATGTGTTTGGCTCTTATGTTGGAAAAGCTCCTAATCGGTCAAGGTTGGGCCCTACTCGAGTCTCAATGGTGCCACCGATGAATGCACTCTGACGTTTTTAGAAGCACAGTGAGCTTTAGTTTCAGAAAACCAGGGGGCACCACAGCCCCCACATTACATGACCTTCAATGAGGAATCCTCAAAAAGCTTTTATGCACAGGGGTAGTGAGAGTGGGCATGCAGGCTGGTTGTTTTTGTTGCTTTAAAATGCAAGTAAACACTCAGTGTGAATAATTGGGAATCTTCAGAAGAGAAAAGGACGTGGTGTGGAGCAAAGGTGTGATCTGCTGTCATCATAGACTGTCACATCCGTGTAACGGCCTTTAATTATCACGTTTAATTTCACTGTCGCAGTCTCATCATCATCATCTTCATCTGCCCTTTCCATTTATCCCCCACTCAAGACCTTGAGGTTTTGCAGACAGGAGACTGTGACATGATGTTAACTTGTCAGCTATTTTGAACGTACAAGGTCGCGAGGGAATGAGGCCTAGCAACCACCTGTGGCTAGACTGTTTGCCTTCAAAGTTTTCGAACATGTTGTTTTCAGCTCCGAGGCACAACATTTACTTCAAAGGTGAGCCGTCTCCAGTTCTGCTTTCCATCGTGCTTTTTCAAGGTTTACTACTCCTCAGCTAGTAGTTTGTTAGCAGTCTGCAAACACACAGTCTGCTAGCAACCAAAGCAATCACCAGGAAGTTTCTTCTGCAGCAACATCTGATATCAGCTGATATCACCCTATTAGAGCACTTCGCTCTCGCTCTGCAGGCCTACTTGTTGTTCCTAGAGTATTTAAAAGTAGAATGGGAGGGAGAGCCTTCAG